TCTTTCAACCAATACTCGGCTTTAGAAGAATTTCATTTTTATATATTTTTTTTTTCTGAATGGACAACAAAATAAGTAGATCTTGTCCGACTCTATTCGCATTCGTCGATTCCATTGCCGTTTCTCTTGCGCGTTGAAGAAGAGAGTATCTGCAACTCAGCCAGCTAAGTAGGTGTTATCAATATAAGCTGCCTTCAACTTTCCTATTGAATATCTCAAAAACTTATTTCCATTGTCTTCGTTTGCCACATATCTGTCTGGTTTTGAAATGGGCTTCAAATCATTTTATGCAATCATTTCTGGACGAGCATGTTTCGATCTGCGTAGTCTCTAAGAGTTTTCTGATTCCAGAGTATCATTATCACTGGGATAACAATTAAAGACACCACTGACATGAGAATTATATAGCTAGATAAGCCTATTCTGCACCCACAACTTCTTCCACGATTGCTCACCCAGTCAGCGGTGGCCGGTCGCTGTTGTGGACCAGCTCTTATCAGAAGTTTTTGTCTACGATTCCGTTTGTTCTCTGTATTCCTTCGCCTTTGCCGCTAGAAATAGTGCGAGACTTGATGGATGCTTAGTCGCGATGCAGGTCTATCCAGGGAAGTAGCGTTTTAGTCACTCACATTAAACATGTTTTCATGTTTGTCTCGAGGACATCTTTTTATTAGAGTTACTTCGGCCACAGGAACAAGTCGGTTGGAGAGTATCCTCGCAAGAATATTTCCGGCTGTAGAAGGCAGTGATATTCCTCGGTGATTTCTAAACTGTGCTTTGTCGCCTTTCTAATGACAATAGAGGTGTCACGCAGATCTGTGAAAATCTTTCCACTACCTATTCAATATTTTGGCAATAAACATATGTTTTCGTTCCATCATCCCTCAGCCGCTCACTTTGAAAAGCTCAACAGCAACTTTTCCTGAATCAGCAGCTTTGATATTCTTCAGTTGCTTGATAGCTTTTTCAAACTCTCGTATGGACCGAACATTACTGAGATGCTTATAAATTGGTTTTTGAGGCACTTTGTTGAAGACGTCATCATCCAAATGGTCTTTCCATCAAGAGCTAATAAAAACTAGATATTTGAGTAGCTGAGTTCAATTTCAAGATGTTAGGGGATTAGGACTTTTTGTAGAGGAACTATATAGGTATTGATTTCGTTGTGCTGCAGAAGGTATTGTCAGATGCTGCTAAAGTATTCAATTCGGTTGAATTCGTTATGCACTCCATTACTTTCTGGTGCTTCAGGTATTGACATTTTAGATTTGAAGATATATGGCGGAATAGGACGGAACATATCCCTCCCTGCATTCCAGACACCAACCAAGGAGATAAAAGACTTAAAAATACCAAATGCGATTGTGGCGCAACGTCGTCAAGAGCTGAGTGTTTCTCAACCCTCGGTGAAGATGCGCACCCGAAATAATAACAACCAAACATTATATAATTATCTGTCTATAACGTTCTACGTCTTCCGATTCTCGATCTCCAACCATTTCTGTCAATCCAGGCTTCCTTCTCCAAGCCTCTGTCTCTCATTTCTCCATCTACTCCACTTCTCCAGTTTCTGCCACGTGTTCTTGCTGATTTGCTTGAATATTTTCGTATCTCTGTCATTATTTGTGCATGTCCGAGCCAAATGACTAATCATTGTTTGTCTCCGTTATCTGCTTTGAGTGTCTCACGTCTATAATTTCTCTGATTCTCTGGTTAGTAATTGTTTCCATTTTTGACCTGCCTGTCGGCTCTCCTCCAAAAGTTCATGTCAGTTGCTTCCAGCATTTTTGCGGTTCTGATGTCTTTCAGTGTACAGACCTCTGAACTAAATATATGTGACTATGTCTTTTAAGATGGTGTTGGAAATATATCTAAAAGGTTAATATCGGGGCTGTTGGTAGCCATCTAAGAGTGTCATTTTTCCCAACTCAAAACTCATAGGTATTTGTTCAGAAACTCGGTAACTAATCCTATATTATGTATTGCAGCAGAGGAAGATTTTTCCAATTGAATATCGTAAAAAAAAAATATCTCTCGCCCAAAAGAATTTTCAGTAGCCCTGTAATGTTTATTTTATTCTGTTAAACATCTTTGCACTTTTTAAATTTCACTTGACAAAGCCTCATAAGTTAAACATATTTTTTTTATTTACGATATGCCTAATAAGTAGGTAAGTAATTTCTGTGCAATATTCCTATCTCATAACATTTTGATTGCCTGTCAGTTGTATCAGTAAAAGTATGAATGATATTGATATTTTTGTAAAGTATGTTTCCCTTTTCCGGAATAACCTTACCAGTTTGAAGCTCCAATTGACCATTTCTGACTTGTCGGTCAAGCATTTTGCCGATTTTGAATGTTTCAGTTTTCAGCTGGTTAGGACTCCAAATTCAATAGTCGTTCGTTTTTAGTGAGTGTACTACGAACTGAGCCAGACATCTAAAATCTAACAGTTCAGAGTTGCAAGACAAAAGAAGCCTCAGAGCCTGCCTACTGCAATTTTGACACAGTAACTTATTTTTTGTATATGGCAATCCTGGGGATGTTATTTTGCTGATTAAACTATAGGTATTCTTTCTTTTATCAGAGTAATAAGAAAAGTGTATGGAATTATTTCATAGGGACAATCGATATCGGGATGTAAATCCACACTAATATAACTAACTACCCAAACAATCAGTTAATTAATAAATTTAGAATTGTAAGAAAATGTAAAAGAATCAAATTCCTGATATATCAAAAGTTTTTGTAGTAAGTTTGGAGCTTTTGTACTTCAAAATAGAAATTCCATGAAAAAACAGTACCTATAGGGAACCAGCTAATTTAAGTTTTTTTTTATATAATTTTTGCTGCTTTTCCCTACTCCCTAAACTTAATCATCACGTATACAATATGTGTTCGCCAATAACATATTGAAAAAATTGATTGGGTCACAACATAAAAATAATTCTAAAAGATCTTATAATTTTATAATTCTACTGAAGTTTTGATTGACATTGGTGTGTATTGCTAAAATCTTTGAAGTGCTCAAGCTTTCAGGGAACAATGACACTTCAATAAACAATTCACAGCAACGAAAAAATTCACACGGAAATAATAAAAATTCTATTAAGTTTTAAAGACAAAATAAATAATTAATTTGGTGTAAAGCCCAAAGTGGGATGTAATATATCCATATTATCTGGGGCAATAATATTATATAACTGGTTATATCCGTTCAACAGTTTGCTTTTGCTATTTGGAATGCTCCCCATTGTAGAGGCTCAAATCAGACGTTGGTTATTAATCGTCATTAGGTATAGCTATTTTATCCGCTATTAGTCGTGAAGTGTTACATTCGAACGTGTCTACTCGTAAGAATAATTAACGTGAGATATTAGGTATCTAAAAAAAATGACGTTTGGATTAATGTGCTATAGACCAAACTATTTTCGAGACCGTTTGGTTTAGTTGAACCATGTGACTTTACAAAACGTTTTTGGGCGATTATTATTAGATGCATAATCACAGAGGGTTACTTAAAAATTAATTAGTATTCGTAGGCATGGACAGCCTTTATAGATTCAGTGGTCTATAGAGCACCAATATTTGTCCTTAGAAATTTTTAATTGTCCGTCAATCAAGAATCATGAATCTTTAATCGAATCAGGCTTTACCTATAAAAACGAGCTACTAATAAGAACGCAGGGTGTTCCGACCAAAACAAGTAATCTCTATACATTATCCTTTTTACTGATTTCTTTTTAATATCAATATAGGTACTTGAAAAACTCTTGCTTGGAGAAAATCATTCGGTTTTCCCTCGAAAGTTGAACTATGCCCTATACTCTCTAAAAAAAATTCATGTGGAACTAATTACAAATACAAATCAAGTTACTCATGTTACCGCACCATATTCAAAATAACCTGACAGGTAGTTAGACTGCTTCAAAGCTAATGGATTCTCATAAACACAAAATTGCGGAATTTTGCCTTTTTGTGACGTTGACGAACAATACATTGAATTGATGTCAAATGCCACAATATTGCAAATTGCATCAGTTAGCAAAGTTAAGCAACTTTGGTATAAGCCATATACCTCAGTCTCGCCTGACTACTTCCAGGTCTTTGATTTAATTAACCACTACGTTCAAAAAAGCTTCATTTGGGGCCTTGGAAAAATTTCGCTGCCAGAAGTTTTTGGTTGATATTTTTTTGACAGTGGCAGAGCGTGAAAGTGGTTCCTCGGGAGGAATGGTTGGTGTCTAATGGAGTTTCTCAAAAATTTATCGTCGGACCAGTTTTATTCTTGGCATATAATTTCGACATATCTGGAAACAGCAATTTAAATGTGAAATCATACTATTGATAGACCGCATCGTTGTTATCTTGAGGAATAACGTTAAGATGTTGACTGCTTTTGATCGAGAAGCTCCATTCGATTGCTAGGGGAACATATCCTGAAAAATGATACAAGAAAAAAGGTTTTGCGAGGTCTCTAGATACTGAAATTTTGCTTTCTCTCCTTACCTGGATATACATATTCTTAACCGCTTGGAGACTGTCCAGAATGCTTTTTTTTGTGTTCGTTATCAAGTTGTTGCGTTTCGACGGCACTATTTATTCAAATGAAGAGCTGATATTTCTTGCATCAAGATCATTTCACCGTGTCTCACGACCAACTTACACTATTTTTTTTTGTTTGGATGGTTTTCTTGTTCTAGAATACTTCATTGCAATAATTGCATCTCGACCTCAGGTTAGAATATCGTTAGTGTAAGTAGAGTTTATCGGGAAAACTTCGCCATTACCATTTTGTGATATGTGTGTGTACGTACCTAAACGTCGATTCCATTTAGAATGTGCATTGTTCAACAAATACTTATTTTTATCAATATTATTTCAAAACTGAAACTAAATCCCTCTCAATGTTGTCTATAATAAATCAAACTTTTTTTCGAAGAAGTTTTAAATATGAAAGTAGAAATGGTAGAATAACTTAGACAGTGTTATTTTTTCAGGTTTGGAATGAGCTGACACTGCCGCTTAACCTGTCAGTAAGTCCACCTTACTACCAAGCCCGAAAATGACCAACCGGAAAGAATCGGAAACTCACGATTGTCTGAAGAACACATTTCATCTTAATCGACATGAAGAAATAGAACTTCCCCCACTAACAAGTGTTGTGAACTCTATAAATCAAATTCAGTACATTAAAAGCAGAGACTTACCCGAAAGAGGAACGTGGGGTAGTAAATTAGATTTTATTTTATCTGTAGTGGGCTTAGCCATAGGGTTAGGAAATGTCTGGCGATTTCCTTACTTATGTTATAAAAATGGCGGCGGTGCCTTTTTGGTGCCATATTTTATTACTCTAATCTTGGCGGGGATTCCCATGTTCTTTATGGAATTGGCTTTAGGACAAATGATGACCATCGGGGGTCTTGGTGTTTTCAAAATTGCTCCCATATTTAAAGGTAACGACTCATTTAAATTATATCACCTTAATAATATAACAATTTGATGAATAATACAGGCATTGGATATGCGGCCGCGGTTATGTCTTGCTGGATGAACATCTATTACATCGTAATTTTGGCATGGGCTATCTTTTATTTTTTCATGTCTCTTCGATCAGGTAAGTACGAGCTTATTGATAGTAATGAAAAACATCAAGTACCTAATACAAAATATAAAATTGTAGATGTTCCCTGGAGAACTTGTAATAACTACTGGAATACTAAATTCTGCGTCAATCCCTACGACAGGGGAGGTTTAACCTGCTGGGACCAGTATAATTCATTTAACAGTACTTTAACAAAAGTTTGTGCTATTAACAAATACAATGTGACGGTAAGCGAACTGACGGACCCTGTGAAGGAGTTTTGGGAGTAAGATTATTCCGTTATTTTCCAGAATATATAAATCTTATTGTCATCATTTCAGGCGAAGAGCGCTTCAAATTACTGATGGAATTGACCATATCGGTTCTATCAGATGGGAATTAGCTGGAACTTTACTTTTGGTCTGGATTATATGTTATTTTTGTATCTGGAAGGGAGTGAAGTGGACTGGTAAAGTGGTGTACTTCACTGCACTGTTTCCCTACGTTCTTCTTACCATTTTACTTATAAGAGGAGTTACTCTACCAGGTGCTATGGAAGGGATTAAGTTTTACGTTATGCCAAACATTAACAAACTCCAAGAATCTCAAGTATGGATTGATGCTGTTACTCAGATTTTCTTTTCTTATGGACTTGGCCTTGGAACATTAGTAGCTCTAGGAAGCTACAATAAATTTACCAATAATGTTTACAAGTAAAGCATTACTTAGAATTACTTTCCATAATTACAACGTGAATTATATTTTAGGGATGCTCTAATTGTATGTGCTGTTAATTCCAGTACAAGCATGTTTGCTGGCTTTGTGATTTTCTCCGTAGTTGGTTTTATGGCACATGAACAACAAAAACCAGTAGCTGAAGTAGCTGCATCAGGGCCTGGGCTAGCTTTTCTGGCATATCCTTCAGCAGTATTACAACTTCCAGGATCGCCTCTCTGGGCATGCCTATTTTTCCTCATGATTTTGCTCATAGGCCTCGATTCGCAGTTTTGCACCATGGAAGGATTTGTTACTGCTATCGTTGACGAATGGCCCAAACAACTAAGGAAGAGAAAGGAATTATTCATTGCTCTTGTATGCTTTATATCTTATTTGGTTGGATTATCATGTATCTCACAGGTACGACTAATGGGCTATTCTCATTATGGCGGCAGCCATGTGCTGGAAATCTCCCGTACACCCATGATTGATCATTATTTAATAGGCCTTTTGCATACATTTTTATTATTACCTGATATAATTTTTTAAATGCGTTTCAAAATATGATTGATAGCCGTGCACAATATTTTTTTTTCCAATTATCTGGCGTTTTTTAAATTTGACGTCATATGGAGCATGACTGCCTGACGTTTAACATCTGTGTACCCTAAGGAAAATTCTAGCAGATGCCAAGTGGCCCGCTCCTGAGAATAATCCTGTAGTATCAAAATCATCAATGTGGCAAATATATTCGTGTGTTTACATATAAGATTCTAATGTTAATCCGAATGATCTCACGGATGGTGGTGTATGTTTGGTTGCTGTTATTGCATGTGTGCATCCGTTGGTTCTCCACTTCCAGATGCCAGTCAACAACCGAGGAAGAAGAAAACTTGGAAAACTAAATGCGAATTTGGCGAAGCTCGTCAAGAATCGAATTTTCTCTTCTCAGCGCTTGCTGGAGAACCAAAGGATGGACATTCGTGCATTTTTTGATAATGAGTTTTAGAAAAAAAAACTCATGTATCAAAAGACTTATCAGATATCTCAAACAGACAGGACCGTGTCCATTTTTGAGGAAAAGCGATTCAACGCAACGATAATAGAACAACTATATTGTTGTAATGGTTAAAAGTAGTACCTATATCGTAAATAAGACAAGCCACTGTCCATTGGAAGCAGCGAAGCTCAGCAATCTCTTAAAATCAACATGTTTTTTTTTCAATATAAGTACAACATTATATAAAATAAAACAAAGGTTACTGAAGAAGATTCACCAAATATGAAAAAAGATAGGTACAGAAACAAGAGGAAGATAATATATGGTATGTCAAGAAGAGAGAATTTCGAAATCAAGGATACCTACTACACAGACCAATGCTTAATGAAGAAAAGAACATTATTTTCAAAAGCCATAAAGGAATGGAAAAAAGTGAAAAGTTGCTGATCGGGGAAGAGGAGGATGTTGACATAGCACCAATAATCTCTAATTGCCACAGATAGGCGGAGTTTGAAATTTCGATATGACATACATCTCTGTGTCATTTTTACTATTACCCCCATCTCACAGAATTCCATATGTCTTGGCGAAAATAGTTCATACTTCGCTTCATCCCCTCTACCGTCCGCCTGTGCTGCTTTCTTCTCAGGATCTATAGCCATTTATTCAACACAAAAAGTGTACCTATTTTTAAATCGTTTGTGGCCGCTCGTGGGTTAATAACCAGGGGGGACATTTTGGTTTAATTATTATAATTTTTTTTTTACAATCTTTTTTTAACACAAATTATATATTTCAATAATTTAAGTTCTTCTAATATTGCATCAGTTAAATGTGTTTTGCTTCAAATTCATTTTTAGTTATTATTGGTAGCCCACTTTTCGTTTTTCCAAGATTCAAGCCGGCGCCGGCGTCATAATTCAGCGTTCCAGCTGACTAAGGCAAATATCTCCTCAACAACACTCATCTTGTTTCAATAAAAACCAATTTTACTATTTCGCAAAAATCAGTCAATCAAAATAATTATCATTTACAACAATCATAAATATATCAATTGGGGTGGCCTGCACTATTATTTTTGATAGAAAACTTTATTTTACTGGATTTTACTACGCGCGCCTGGCGCGCTGTTGCTGTTGAAGCGAAACACGTTGGGCCGTCGACCATATTAGTGATATAGGAGTAAAGTTGACTCTCACTCTCGCTCACAAAATTCGTAATATGTTGTCTCTGTTCTTTTTACACGCATTTTTCCATAAACCACTTGCACTGTGCAGGGTCAATTTCGGCAGGATTATTTATTAGATTTTTTTCTAATATTGCAGCAAATGTAGACTGCTGTGAATTTTATGAGACCAAATTATTTTTATTAAAATTATGATATTGATCAGAACGGTATGAATTATGAAATACGGAGGAGAAAACTTATTTTTCGACTCTTTTCAGAAACAATAACAAAAAAGATTCCAAGAAAATGGAAAAGCAGCATAACGATCCCATTATTCAAATTGGCCAAAAACAATTCGAGGCATTTCTCGCGGAATAATGTTTAAGGGTGGCAACACCACCCCATGCATATGCGCACATGTGGAGAACAACAATGTTTTCCGAGAAATCAGATCCCCTATCAATGCAATAATGTTCATTGTTAAACCAATATAATGAAAATCCATAGAATATAACATTTTAAAAACCTGCGTATATGTGCTCTATCAACATGACCGAAGTATGCAAATGAGTCCGTTTAACAAGCATCATCAGAATGATGCGAGAGAGAGAGGGCCGCGCGTGAACCAGATATCAATAAAGCTCATTTACAAATTTAATAGTTATTGGTGATACATTAAATCAAATGAAAAAGTACGATTATGGGCAAAAAAGTTTAAAATCCATGTGAAACAGCATGCTGCAAAATGGGAAACAGTAACATCAATGCTGTTTGGTGCGCTGATAATGTGGTACTTATTACTGACTCAGAAAAATACCTATGGAGACTACTCTACTCCCTTAATCAAACAGCGACAAAGGAAGTGAAATAACAGTAAATAACACATCAATTAGAGTTATCATAGCATTAGTAGAGAAAAAAAAAGTCGAAGACCCGGCAAAGGAAGCGAACATTTGAAATTGAAATATTAAAAAGCATTCACGGAAAAACATTACACGACAGAATCAGCAACGAGGAGCTTGGACAAGAATTAGTAAGATGGGTAAGATAACGGAGAAAATATCTACTGGAATAAACACATGGACAGAATGGACGACAAGAGAAGCGGGCAAGAAACGGGGAATAATAGAACAACCCCGCCAGCGAAAGTAGATCACCAAACCGATGGATAGAATATTGGACATGGAAGAAGATGATATTTTTTCATTAGTAAAATTGCATCAAAAAGTTTATTTTATTTATTAGTTAAATAATTTTCGGAGCTTCGAAATGGGTTGCAAAGATAATATATTTCATATCAGTAGAGTATCGTTAAACTTGTCTCATTTTTAAAAATTTAATTTTTTCTCGACAAACAATACCGTTGCATATAGTGAATTTCTATTTTATTTCACAATAATAAAAAACATTCCGTCCCACCAGTACATATTTGGATTCCCCAAACCTAATTTGCAGAGTAATCTCCAACCTATTTTCTCTTATTAGGGGCTTCCCAGACATTTACTTTCAATCCATTATGCGATACTCATGTTATGGTATCTTACTTCGAAGATATTGTGTAATATTTTTCTTTTAGGGTGGAATGTACGTTTTCCAGATTCTAGATTCATACGCCGTCAGTGGTTTCAGCTTATTATTTTTAATATTTTTCGAATGCATTGCTATTTCTTGGGCATTTGGCGTGAACAGATTCTATGATGGCATAAAAGAAATGATTGGCTATTACCCAATGTCTTGGTGGAAATTTTGCTGGACAATTTCGACTCCAGTAATTTGTTTGGTAAGCACAATATTTAAAATTTTAAACCTAGTTAATAAATATAATTTATTTTAAGGGTGTATTTATTTTTAATCTAATTCAATGGACCCCTGTGAAATATCTCAATTACGAATTTCCTCTGTGGGCGCACTTGTTCGGATGGTTTACTGCTCTCACTTCCATGCTGTGTATTCCTGGTTACATGGTTTATGCATGGGTAACAACTCCTGGGGATAGACCAACGGTAAGTAGGTATACAAATATAGCTTCTCCAAAGAGAACAAACAATGACATGTCAGTTTCTTGAAACACTGAGTGCTTGGAGCATTTCCCATCTTTTTTCCTTTTGATGAGGAGAACAGGGATAAAATAACAATACAGCAGCTCCGGGCGTCTAGTCGAATTTTATATTACATGATGACATTACAAAGTTATAGGAAAATATTGCTAGGACATACCTACGTTCAAAAAATCATTGCCATTTTTTATATACGTTTTTTTGAAGACCCGTTATAACTAACATGAATTTCAGTTTAGAACCATTGCTTGATTTTGCTTGGAAAATAGTTAAATAAACAATCCCCTAATAAAAACTCGAGACCGCGATACGGTCAAGAGCTTTTATTTAAAAATTATTGTACATGAAACTATTCAAAAACCATATCATGCAAAACATATTTGGATAGCTTAATACATTTAAATTTATAGGTGGAATGGTAGACGACTAGATTAGTTTTGTTCGGACTTAAACGAATGCGCAAGCGCAGTTCAATTCAGACCTGATTCTAAAATAAGTCCGAACAAACCTATTATTTCTTGAATAATGAAAATTAAAGCCAACTACAACAAATTTTATTTATTATGAAATGTCAAAATTCTGTTAAAAAAGGTTAAACAAAATTTAGTCGCGATTCTAGGTTCTAGAGATTTAATCATACTTATTTAAACGAAATTCTTTCGAAAAATGGCGTTGTCTCTGATTGGTCTATTTCATAATAAGAGAAAAACATAATCAATTAATGCCATCAGACATTTCAACTAAAGTTTCTTTTCCAGAAATGGCGATTATTGATCAGGATAGACGATGATGTGAAAACAATAAGAAATAAAATGCAAACGCAATCCCTTGGATCCCCAATTTAGCTTCTTGAAACACTTTATGACCGATTGTGATTTTTACGCAGAATTCCACTAATATATTATTTTAAGTACTGCTTTTTTATTAAGTATTATGCATACAAAGAGGCAGCTCACACACATTTTAATACATAAATAGGAATAGAATTTATAGATTAATCAATTTGTTAGCTCTAGTCTTCTTATGTCCTCGGAGCGTAGTTACCATCATCAATAAATAGGTTATAATAAGTTAACTAGAGCTAAATGATTCGTATTTTATTGGACAATAAAAGGTTTGTAGCTTATAACTTTAAAATAATAATGTATAGTGTAAAAAATTAGGTTTTCTTAAGCTATTTTTAATTTATGGTAAAATTCGATATCGATACCTAGTTAAGATTTTTTTTAGTTTAAATTTAAGTTTAATAGTACCTCTAGTTTGTATCTATGCATAGACTTTTTAAATGTGTTTATGTAGATTTTCTACCCGAATTTTAGCTTGTCATCATTATCATTAATTTTTTGGATATTGTTAAATATTTTTCGTTTGATTGAGTAGTGTGAACAATGTGCCGACATATTCTGATAATTTATCATCTAATTGAATAAATACTCAAACTTGTACATTTTTTCAATATATACCAATTTTCCTATAGAAATAATAACGTATTTTAATTTTCGATCGAATTTTGAGTTGGTTGTCCTGTTCAAATTTTGAAAAAACCTCCAAAATAAGGCAAATTAAACAAAAATCCGTGACTTATCTATGAATTTTTTCTTCTAATAGTAGGTACATCCAATGTTTGGGCTAGTCAGTACAATCATCTTGCACATTATTATACAACAAGACTAGAGTCCGCGTCAAGAGTAAAGAGTACGGTGTCGTCATATGCGCACAAACCCAATTTTGAAGACTAACCGAACTATCGTATTGATGGGTGCTGCTGCCGAACGCCAAGCACGTGGTTCATTGTCGTACGGCCAGCAGGCATATTTATTTGGTTTATTTTCTATCCATGTTTTGTCTAAAAAGATACCCTGCTGCTGGTTTCAGCTCACGACCGAGGTCACGCCAAAAGGCGGTTACACACGGACGTGGATGTCTTGATACATATACGTGCATACATCAACGTGCAAACAACAACGTGCATTTCGCGTTTGTACAGACGGTCGCACAAAACTGCAGTCTTGCTATTCTTGCTACAGTATTCCGAGTGTGCATACAAAATTTCTAGCGATTCCACATTCAAAAACGCGACGATATTTTGCATACACATTGATGTTTTTGTTTGCGCGTTCATGTATGTACGTACATGTTTTCAGACATCCACGTCCGTGTGTAACCGCCTAAACAGCGAGAGAGACGAGGGAGAGAGATGCGACCCGCTTCGCGCAGCTTTCCGTGTCGTCACCGTATTCTTTACTGCTGACGCGGACTCTACGCATAGCGCAAAACTGGGAAATCTGAAAACTATGCCGATATCACAGTTGAATTTCGCTTGCCCAAAATTCCCAGATTCTGAATTTAGTGAGCGAGCCTAAGCGGGTTTTGAAGATATTTAAGCGCTGCGATACTTTTCACTGAAAATGCGGTGTTGGCATATTTCAGCAACTAGTAGAGATAGAATTCTGAAAATTTGGAATCTTATCAAATTTGGCACGCCCTATGCCCAATTCATTGCAATAAAAATGAATAAGGCATTCTATTTAAGATAACAAAAAGACTGCGTGTAGCGCAAAACTGGGAAATCTGACAACATTGCCGATAGCGCTGTTCAATTCCGTATGCCCAAAAACTGTCAGATTCCGAAATGTGTGAACGCGGCTGAAGCGGTTCTGAACATATTTAAGCGTTGCAGTACTTTCTACTACTGTATAGGGTGTTCCATTCAAAACATTGATCTTTCCGTCAATATTTCGAAATCGGGGCCAAATGGAAAAAAACTGAGAACGTCATTGGATTTTGCCTAAAAAAAGTGCCTTCACGTTAATCAATTATTTTCACAGACAAAAAAGTTATAAAGCTTTCACAGTATTTATTGCTCAAAATCGAGAAACGCCCTCTAGCGACAAAACGATTCAAGACATCAAAATGCGATTTGCACCAATGAAGTTTTCATGAAATTTGAGCCTCGCTTAGAAATTGACGTTTGCTATCAAAAGTGTCCAAATTGGAAAACCCTGAACATTTCAATAAACAGAAAATAATAAAAATACCTATTCAAAATAAAAATAAAACAAATTTATTTGATGGAAACAGAGCAATCGGTCTCGCGAGAAGGCTGTTACCCACTTCCGAGAATAGACACCCAGCTTAGTTGGAACAACGGCATTGAAAACATGGTATGGGCGATGCGTTCTGACAGTTTGCAAACTGTCAGCAACTCTCGTGAGAACAGACCTATCGCACTTCAGACACCAAATTATCACGGATTCCGGGTTCACTAAAACTCACTCCACAAACAGTAGCAACTCCTAATGAACAAAACTGACTTCATAGAAATTTACTTATTACTCATCGGAACGTATACACCAAATAATCTCGTATTCGATCTGACTACAACAATCTCATTTCAACTGAACCCAACAAAGCTAATCTTATTTTGACTCACTCTATCTGTGTAACCGCCCACTATTTATAGCAGACAGTGTAGGTACCTACTCGGGATTTATCTAGAAAAACCTGGAGCCCTACTCAAATAGAATTCCTCGAATAGTCGCGCCAGGCGTAAACAACTCGGTTCCCAGAATTCTAATCCTGGTCGGGTTATCAATACAAAAGCGCCAAACACACTCGTAATGATAATAGCTCATACGATTTCGTATGGCTTATGACCTAGGTACGTTACTATTACATTTTGTTGTTTCTACGAGCGTGCGGGAAACTACGATTTTGCGCGCTGCTACTGATGTGGAATAAATCCTCGAATAAATCTATTTTAATATGGTCGGGCCGCTACAGGAGAAACAAGCCGGTTGCCCATATACTTTTAACCAATTGAGGTGTCTCACATAAATAGAAAAAGAGAGCTTAATTGTAATAAATACAAGTTAGAAAGAAATAAAAAATGACATGCGCGCGCAACTCGTGGCTGCAGTGTAGCCAGATTGTATTGTTATAGAACAAATGTAGACGATAAAAATCGAACATTATAACATTAAAGAAGTGATATATTGTTAAATGCTTTACAACGCCTTAAATCAGACAAAAGAAGAGCTTTAAAGTGTATATTAACATCGTTTGCACTTTTATTTTTATAAATGTTTCATCCGGCAACATCGCACAATGAAATTGCAATGAAATATGTCAAGTATAATCTAAAATAACCTTAAACGACACTGCGGTAAGTTCAAGTAAGGCCAGAGTTTCATGCATCCGTTTTCCGACGAAATATGTCCGAAAAACCTTCTATTTTGACATATTTTTATACGATTATGTCAGAATAGAATGTTTTTCGGACATCTTTCGTCGGAAAAACGGATGCATGGAACTCCAGCTTAAGGCCGGAGTTTCATGCATCCGTTTTCCGACGAAATATGTCCGAAAAATTTTCTCTTTTGACATACTTTAATACGATTATGTCAGAATAGAATGTTTTTCGGACATCTTCCACCACGCCAAAGTACCAGTGATGACGTAGGCAGCGTCGTTCCAAAACCGAAGTGTGTGGTAGAAAACCCTCCTGTTTCATCGTAGTGTATGGGGCCCTTTAACTTTTATTCTCCACAGCAAAAAGTATAAATATCCGCAATATTTTCGCACCCTGTCAAGCAGGGCCGGATCTACGAATTTTTCGAGGGGGGGCAAAGATGTGAATTGCCGCCCCCTGTTAAATATTATTTTTTATGTATATAGTCACAAATGAGGTGTTGAATTTCACAATTTATTTATATGTAGCAGTAGCAGCTCGTGGTCTATACTGGAAGGGGTTCACACCTAAAGTGATCCAGTAGTTGAAGCCCAGCTCGTGGGATCCAGTAGTTGTAGCGCACCACAGGTGCCACCAAAGGCAGGAACTATTTTCGGGTGCCACGCCCAAAGACGTATTTCAAGCCTCCAAAAAAAATTTATTGGAATATCAAAGATTCATTAAAAAAACTTAATTTCTTTTAGCTCTCAATATTTGAGTCCTTTTATCTGAGGGATGGTAGCGCAGAATACATAGCTGTGGCCGGAGCCGGATTCAATGTTGTACTGTTGTACAACAGAAGGCGATTGATTATTCATTTATGACATGATCATGATATTTTTGAATTTATTGTATTTATTTGTCTGCGACCACATCAAAATTAGAAGCTTATGCCAATATTGCGCATACGCATCTTATCTTATCTTATTATATTACACATCTTCATACTATCGGACAGCCAAGCTGCCTTAAAAGCCTTAAGAGGGGCGTTTAAATAAAATGTCATTTACAGACCTTCACAAATTTCTGTTCAATTACAAATTTAGACCGCTTTTCAGTGAAATGAAGATATGTTCATAACAATAATAGTTTGGAGTATAAGTTGAAGCATTTTTGGTTGCAAAATTCGCAGTCTAATAAATAGTAAAATTATCACCAATTTTGTTGACAACGGTATGCAAATTTTGGTCACGGATTTAAATGAAAAAGGGATAAACATATAGAGAAGCACATCAACGTCATCAACAATAAATTTCCAAAGTTTCGGATCATAAAATGCTGGAATAAATGAAAAGAACAGAATTTCCGTTAATTTATGAGTTTTTGTTCCAAAATTAATCAAAATCTGTAAATAAGTCAATCACTTACAGGGAATGTGCACATTTGTGACTAAAAAATATTTAATGTATGTCATAAAGCCCAAAAATGGCGCGCTGGCTCCTATCTGACGCCCCTCTTAAGGGCTTTCAAATGCACGTCAAAACTAGTCTGGGAGTGTAAACAGACCCTAAAAACACTAGCGACACATAACCAGGTAACGCTGATGTGGCTTCCTGGTCATTGAGGCATAGAAGGAAACGAAGAAGCAGGTGGCCTCGCAAAAGAAGGAGCTTCAACACCATACCATAGACCAGAGCCCTACTGTGGCTTAATGAAAAGCCACATCATGAAGAACTCAACAAATGGGAAAAAGACCAACTGTCATCATATTGAAGGCACACTCCGGGACACAGACAGTCAAAAAGCTTTATTACCCTTTCAGCAAAAAGAGCTAAACAGCTCCTAAACATGAACAGACCAGACATCAGATTGGTGGTAAGACTGTTCACAGGACACTATGCCTGGTAAAATACTATTTGAGGTTAATGGGCAGAGCAGAAGACGATCTCTGCAGATTCTGCTCAGACGCAATAGAGATCGCAGAGCACCCAATTCTGCAAGAGGCTCGAATCCCTCGAGGGGGCAACACTGTCACCAGAAGAAGTGGGCCAATTGACACCCAGGAAAATAGCTTCCTTCGGCAGATGTCTACGTTTCCTGGAGACAACCTAAGGCGTAGAGTCATGTACAAAATATCTGCAAAGGTAGCAGTGCTGAGCGGCTGAAAAGCCGAAACGACTCCCCCACAATCTATAATCTACGTGATCGAACGTCAAAGCTCTATTTCTTCCGGAGAGGGCAGCATAATACAGGGAACCTTGAGTAAGGTTACTTTGGGTTGGTCGGCTGTTCTATCAGAAG